GCACGAAAAAATCACAGGTGCGGTGTGCCAAGTGCAAGGGCCACCTGGGGCACAGCTTTGATGACGGGCCGCCGCCCACAGGGCTGCGCTACTGCATGAACGGTGAGTGCGGCTGGCGATGGAGTTCACCCTCTCTATCTTGAATCGTGAAATCCAAAGTACACAATTCGCAGGTCTTTTAAGGGCGGCGGACGGCCGCCGGTGTGCCACACACCTGCAGATACACTGCATCTGCCACTGCAGCCGCACGTACTGTACCAACATCGATCATGGGATCACGCACCGCTCTGAACTCGCACCCACGCCTGCAGGCGTCGCGCTGGCGTTTGAACCCGCGGGCGGCGCGTGAGCAGCGGCGCGCCCATGGGCGAGGGGGCGGCGCGGGGCGGTGGCGCTCCCGGTCATTCGGGGCCCTCACGCCAGGGTGGCGCTGTGGGGTTGAGGTATGCCAGATGTGCTTTTGAATGTTTTCTCATGCTCAACGAGGCCGTAATGTGTCAATTGCTACTAGTTTAACCTTTTATTGAACGCTTGCTAGTCTTTGCCTGTTGCGTTCATGTGTGCAACTGCATGTGCTCGGGGACATGTAACAGGCGCACTGCTGCTTGCAGGGCGGCAGCGCGTTGGCTGCGCTGTGTAAGGCCTAGAAATTTTATGAAAGCACGAAAGCAACTCACGTGCACCGTAATGAGCACATGCCTGCTCGGGTCATTTGGCCGGGTCACCGCTGCTCTGACTCAGCGGGCGGACCCGTGACGCAAAGCGCATGCGCATTCATCCATGAGACCCCAAGCTCTGCGTCAACAGGTACATCGCACTCGTTTATTCATTTCCGCAAGCACCCGCATACTCCTAAAGCACCATGGTTGTCGCTGCCTTTGCCGAAGTGGGCCGGAGCGCCCGCGAGGTCCTTGTTGGAACGCGGGAGGGCGTATATTCTTTTGATCAGAAGGCCACGCTCACCACCAAAACATCGGATGGCGTGGGGCTGGTGCTGGGTGCGATCAGAGCTGGCGACAAGGCGGACCTCACCCTGAAGACGACTTACAGGTGCACAATCCGGCGCATGTGCTTTGATAATATGAAACATATCGTGAGATCAGCTGAGGCGACCCTCATCGGCCCCGATCCTCCGCCGTTGCCGCCACACTGGTCGGCACTGCAGGCGCCTTGCACACGCAGCTCCCTCGAGCCCGCAACCGCCGCCAACCACCTGCCCACATGCCCGGCCCGCGCCCCTGCCTGTGCACCCGCGCGTGCAGCCGCGACGGCTTCGATTTGAACGCGCTCTTCAAGACCGGCAGCGACTCGGTCGACGTCATCGCTAGGGCTGACAACCTGGCCCCCGGGCTTCGCGCCTCAATCTCGGCCACCCTGCCGGACACGCAATCAGGTGGGGCTCATGCGCAGCATAGTGACTGCACATACACCTTCTTTCCGATCCGTCCTCAGTGCTCTCGCGCCCATACTGACATTGCGTGACGGCGGCAGCCGCTGCGGCCTGCCGCGGTCCGGTGGCCCTGTTGTTGTTTTGAGAAGCACCCGCGGGCGAGGGAGGCCCAACTCAACTCAAAGCCTCCTGTGTGTCTGGAATCCCTCGCGATGGGGCTGCAGGCGGTGGGCCCTGCCTGGTGGACACAAGTCTTCTCGCCATCTCATCGCAGCCCCGCCACCCCATGTACAATCCGCGCCACGACACAGCAATAAATGCCGTTCCAAACATAACCGTCGCAGGGAAGCTCACGCTGGACTACAACCACCCCTTTGGCCACGCGACCGCCGCCGTCGGCCTGGGGGCGCGGCCCAAGGCGTCGCTGGCGCTGACGACGGCGGTGTACACCAACTTCCTATTGGGTGGGCGCGGTCTCGGTGCCTCAGAAACTCACTGTATGCATGTGCTGGCGGTTTATGGAGTTGCACCTTGTACGTTGTGGGGTTCCGGACGCTGAATTGCCACACACTACCCTGGAGGCCTTGTCATCTGCCATGCCGCGCTGCAGCGGTTTTGGGG